AGTTGTTAGTTTATTTAATATCATCCTACAGGGAGCTAGGAATGGAATGCTTCCTTTATACTACTACTGGCATTACAAGTAAAGAAAACAGGATCTCCTACATTTCTATCTCCTTTGTATTATGCCAGGATAATTAATGGGCAGGACCCATCCTAGTAGACCTTGTAGGGAAAGGATAGCAGACCTCTCAGGAAAAGGGAGACAAAAACAGCCTGACATACCACCATAAGATTTTTCTTTGTGGGAGGGGGGGATAATGAGATGCCTATGTAAGAATTATTTTAAAGAACAAAATTTTAAAAGAGAAAGATTAGTTTACAGAAGGCTAGATGTATGATATAACCTTTCCATTCTAAGAAGGTGAGAGAGGAGTCTTTGGGTGTTGATTTTTGGCATATGCATTACACAAATGGCGGCCATGCCACTTTCAATAGTGATATGCTGAGTTAACCCTTGAAAGTTACAGCATTCTACCACTTATGACAAGGTTATCTAGAACAACTCTGCAAGCATGTGCTGAGCACAGTATGACAGTTTCCCACTCTGCATGGGCTGATAATAAGTGTAAGGTAAGTGTTACAATTCTCTCTGGAAAAAAAGATTTCAATTCTCTAAAACCTTATGTATTAACTCCTATGTACTTAGTTATCTTTTGTAGTTTATCAGATAGCTGTGCCTTTTGCCTCAGCAGTATTAATCCATGAATTTCAAACACCCCTGGGCGAAGGAGAACATAGAGCTCCACTCTGTATGGGCTTCCACTGATGGTACAGAAGCTGTTGTAGGAACTGTTTTCAGCTCTGTCCAGAATAAAACATCTCCCTCTCTCTCTTTTAATCAGTTAGAATGTAAGTTATTTATTTTTCTTAAAATGGCTGAGTTTTAAGGGCCGGGGATGTAGTTCAGTGGTGTCGTGCCTGCTTAGCAAGCAAAAGATCCTGAGTTCGATTTCGAGTACTGGAAAAAAAATGGCTGAGTTATAAGCTGAGTAAAGTATATTGGTCTGGTCAAACATTATACATAGCATATTTACTTTAAGTATCCAAGCACAGTGTATTATTCATTTCATGAGTAAAGACTGGCCTACTTACAAGTAACAATATCAGACCAAATAACTTGATTACTTAAATTTTAGATTATGCTGCACACAATCATTTCATGAGGTTATCTTTTGGACAAAAATATTTGGCAGTCTTTTCTATTAGAATAATTGTTCATAGCTATCTGCATCTATTTTTGGCATAGAACTGAGTCCACTGAAGTGTCTTTCATAAGCTTTAGAGGGATGCACTTTAAAACAAGATATTGTAAGTGACTTCAGATTTTTTTAGTCTTCTTTCTCTAATATACAAATTTCAGAAATTCTAAAAATGCTAGAGGAATTTAAATTTATTCATGACGAATAGTTTCAATCACAAACTAAAATATATTTTAAAAATGCATTAATAATTTTAAAAGTATGTGTATTTTTATACATTAGACCCCTAAAGCCTTTATCTTCTGTAAATATTTTAATATTGATAGTGTACACAGACTTCAGTTCTTAATATCTTCTGTGATATGTGAAAAAGCAGATTTTCCTTCATATAGTAAAATGTTTTTATGGACAAGAAGTTAACTTTAATGCACACATTTTATTCCATATTTTAAAATGTTAGCATGGTAATGAGTATTTAATTTTAATTTCTTTTTTATAACTATATAATCATAGCATCAATAACAAGTAATGAAGAATATCCTAATTTGATCACAAAGGCATGAACAATCCATATTTTATCTTTCTAATTGTTACTTGCAAAGAGATGGTTTTAAAACTAGAAACCCACTGACAAGAGTTCTCACCACAGGCCTTCATTACTCCTGGAGTACCGAAGGTCCCTGTACCCTGCACACAGTAACTGTCACCACTTCTAAGACTTGCCCATCACGCTCAACTCTGGCTTTATCAGGATTCCTGAATCTTAGGTGAAACAAACTTGAACTATCAGATATCATGTTGCTTGTTGCTACATTCGGGGTCTGAAATGTCCACCCAACACTCCCGTGTCAGAGGCCTGGTCCCCAAGGCAGTAGTGTTCAGAGGTGAGGCCTTTGAAAGATGCTAGGCTCCATGGATGAGTTCATGATTTCATGGGGTATTGGTGAGCAGTGGGCATCTAGCAGGTGGGGCCTGACTGGAGGAAGTAAATCCTGGGGCTGTGCCCTTGAAGGCTGGATCTTCACGTCCTGGCTGTCACAAGGTGAGCAGCTTTGTTCCATCACACACTCCCTGCCATCATGCTCCACCTCACCACAGGCCAAAAGCAATATGGCCAAGTGACCATGGACTGCAATGTCTGAAACCATAATCCAAAATAAATCTTTTCCTCCTTTCAGTTGATTTTCTCAGGTATCTTGTCACAGTAATAAAAAGATGACTAGCACATTTGATATTATTTTTAAAAAACAACTGTCACTGTAGATGGGTAGATGAATAAAAACAGAAAAGTTAGGAAGCTCTATTTTGTACCCTATCTAAAATACCATCATTCTTTAGATAATGTCTCTAGTTACCCACAGTAAATATATTTCTTTTTATTTGCAAACGAATACTTCGTTTTCTGATGAACTATGATAAATAAATGCTCACTTATAAAGTAAGCCTGCCTAGAAAATCCTGGACCTAGAGGATGAGTACTTGCTTAACTCTTAAATTCTGACACTGGCAACAATGGGTATATCTTACCAAGTGACCCGATTAGTTTTCTTACTGTAAATCAAGGGAATTGATCACAATAGTGATAATAGTGTTCTCGCCTGAGTTCCTACTACATGCCAGGTTTGCATCCACGCTGCCACCTCATTGTAATTTGAATCCATTCTATTTTCATATCAGAAAGTTGCAACACAACTGTGTGGGCCAGACCCACCTTTTCACACTAAAGTAGTACCCTGGTGAGAAGCACAATGGAGGATTCACACAGGAGCTTGGCAACATATAAAGAACAAAGACCGTGCAATTTGTGGAAACAATGATCCACGTGGTCTAAAGGCATGTTTAGCTAATGACAAATCACTCTGGCTCAGTTCAAGACAGTAATCATTTTCTCATAAATAATATAGAGATGGTAAAACACCACAGCATTTAGTCAAGCCACATATCATTTCATTTTTAATTACTGCTCTTGGATATTGGAATACTTTTGGACACTGAGATCCATTTATACTCACCTTCATCATGGCAAAATTATCTACTAAATATCCCAAGTATAAAGAAAACAACAAAATAACATCTCTGTACCAAAAATCTTTCTCCCACAAAGAGGGCTTTGCCTTACATTCTGGTATTTACAAATACTCATCATGTAACTCTCTCACCTACTTACTTAATAGTCCAAGTACTCTTTGGAGATGATATATTGACTTGAAATAACTGTCACTAATACAATTTTGGTGGCTTAATGGACAGATAATACTTGATAGGAGGGGTAAATTGAAATAAGTTGTGAATAAGTCTTTCATGTATAACATTGTAAGGCTTTAAAAATGAACTTTGAATGCATTACAATTAGATACCAGGGATCAAAAAATTACAACTTCCAAAGACGTTTATAAAAAATACTGCTTAAGGCATAAATAACTTGTTGGGACTCAAGACATTTTGTGAGACAGTAACAAACATGCATTCAAAAAAACTGTATCTAAACACATAGAAGAAAAAATTCTTTGCACTGGAAAATGAGTTAATAATTCTAAATATGTTTTAAATTATAATAAAATCACCAACATTGCAACCATTTGAATTGTCAAAGACACATATGAAATGTTGAATTTTTCCATAAAATATAAGGAAAAGAAGAAAGAATTTCTGAGTTAACATGAGACTATAAACATTTGCAACCATTTAGTGGACACTAAAAGTAAATGTTTTAGCATTTTACCTATAATCTTTAAAATGTCTACCTTTAGTTTTGGATCTGCCCATTGGACATTTCTTTAAGATGGAGATCAGTTTATGTAAGGATATTGTGGAAGACTTATTCTTATTGGTGCATTGTTTGAGGTAGGGTGGGGAGAACTTTTTAAAATTCTGTTTACAGTTTTCATAGTTTTTATAATAATATGTGTTTATAATTAACATTCAATTTCCCAAAGTTTGAACATCCTCAGTTTCAGTCTCAGAACTGTAAAAGTTATACAAATACAGGAGAACCATTTTTGTATAAGAGGAATAAAAAGAGTAGACCACATTCTAAAAATGACACAAAAAAAGCATCTAGCACCCCATCAATAGACCCATGCTGTATAACACTCTTTGTATTCATCAAGTTACTTTGTAAATCAAATCTGTCACATAGGCATCTATGTCATCAGTCAGCACAAGGGGGTGATTTGGCAGTGACTGGAGAGTCATTGATGAGACTTTGTAATGTCTGGATGGCTCTACCCACAGCAGAGCGTAATTCAGCACAAAGAAGGTCTGCTCTGACCTCCATCTGAAAGTTAATTCCTGCAGACCTAGAGAGACTTCACGAGCACCCACATTAATGGCAACATGGTCTCAAGTCCTAGACCCTGGTCATGTTGCACTGAGGTGGCAGCTGTATCTGCTTTCCTGCCCAGACTATAAACCCCAGGCTCTCCACTATGAGGAGCAAGTCCCATGCAGCACAAGAGCGGAAGAGAGTAAACGTGTAAACTTGAGAAACTGTCATTTGGAGTACTACAGTAAAGCTCGAGCAAACAACTAATACAACAAAAAAGAAACCTGGACAGTAATAATCCACAAATAGCTTTATATCACAAATGGACTAGCACATGACTGAATCAGAATAAGATAATTTGAAAAAAAATTTTGGGAGAAATGTGCAGTACAGAAAACAATTGCTCAACTCTATTTTTTTCTCTTACTACCCTACTTAATGGTGTATGATTATACTTCTAGTTATTATAAATTTTGTTTTGCTATGACTTCAAAATGGAAATAAATAATAAAATTAAGAAATGAAAATATTCTGTACCTGAGAAATCCGCTGCTAAGAGATCTACTGCCTTTAAAACCTTTACTTGTAAAATGCCAACATCCTTCATATCTTTCAAGGAGTTCCGTAAGCACTGAGTGGAAGAAAAAGAGATCACACATGAGAATAGCTTTCTAATATACTCACAATGCTATAAAGTTCTATAGGAAGTACTTTCCAAATTTCTCTTCCTTGTTTTACTAAATTCTTTAAAAAGCTCCTAAAGTGAATCATGTTCATCAGGAGGACAGTTAGGCATTTACAGCAGCCAGATTAAAAAAAAAAAAAAAAAAGAGGCTGGGAATTAATTAACTACAAAATAAACAAATTGGAAGCACATACAATCTACTTTTAACATCGCCCCCTGGTGTTAGTACAGATATCCCACTGGGAAAATGTGGTGGTAGAATTACATTCATTCTCTTTTCCCCCCATTTCTCTTTAATGTAACTTTTAAATCACTCTAAAAGGAAACATTATCCTGATCTAGTTAGTGTAAACTTTATGGATACCAGAGGATTACACTTGGGCCCATCACAGATATTTATTGTCACTGGAAAGAGAGTAAGGAAGAAAATAGAAAGAATTGTCAGGTCCGTGGTTAGCCAGTTCATTAAATTAGAGATTTAGCATCTGTTATCACCCTGTATTCATATTTTCTTTAGTGAGCAGTTTGCATGATCCACAGCATGGATGTACACCCGCTAGTCATTCTTAAGCATATATATGCATATTTTAAGCACATACATACATATATGTATGTATTTTGATGTCTACATCGATAGCATGCTTACAAATTGTAAATGAAAGACATACGCACTTTTTCATACCTATAGAACACATCACTGGAAAGGTCGCTGCTTCAGAATCTTTAGATATATTGTTTCATAAGCAGATCCCATAGATTTTATGGAACAGCAATGTTCTTGTTATTTAGGTATTTCAGGGTCTAATAGCAAACCTTAATAATAATTGGGATTTCCCTAACCTAATATGCATCACTCCTATGAAGTTTTGAATTGTTTCTCCTCTGTATGGACAACACAAATCAATCTTCCAACTAGTTCTTAAGCTAAGATGAAAGCATTTGAAGTAAGATACATTTTTTACCTTTATCCACTTTTATTTTCTACTTTTACTAGTACATGTTTGTAGTACATAATGATTGCATTCACTGTAAGGTATTGGAATATATAAATAACACATTTCAATTTTTTTCTATTCCTTTAAAGAAGGCCTATTCTAACAACCTGAAAAACAAATCCAAGCATCTGTAACATCCTCCTTGTAACACAGATTTCTTTCCTTCTAAAATGCTGGCCAGGTTTCTAGCTTAAGAAACATTTGGCATTTCTATTTTCATTATAGTTTCTCCAAAACTTTTTTCATTTATTGTCCTTTAAATCCTAAGGCAAATCAAAGTAGCCATCATTATACTATCTAGTATTACTTTGTCAATAAAAACATGCCTAGTGAATTTCATAAATTTTGCAATTTGTCCATGGAAAACTTTAGGGAAAATTTTAATCTTCACAGTCAAAATTTTTTTTTTTTTGCTCACTCGTGGGAAAGAATAGCAACAATGAAAATTATTCCAAGTACAACCTGGTACACAGAACCCATGTTGACAGTGTGACACATGGCCAGTGTGTGCTCTTGAAGGAAAAGAATTATTCAATTAATCAATACACCTAAACAATGAAAGATTCCAGGGTACTAAAGTTTAAGCTGAGAGTGGTATAGCTATTAAAGAGGGATTCCTCTTTGCTTGATCTTATGTCACTTTCTTAAAACATGCCCTCCTTGTATGGCAATAAAGGAAACATATTGATTTACAGAGAAGATGAGACAAAAACAAATGTAAATATTGGCACATAGAAAGCCAGGGTACAAACAAATGAAGAGGCCATGGCCATTTCATTTTAAAATGCTCGGTGGACTGTTAACAGCAACTAAAGGAGAATCACACATGAATACTGTCATCCACAGAAGTACTGTAAAATGGTCCTTCCTGCCAATCTCATGCTTTGCTAAGATATGAGCACGTTCTCCCTTGATCCTAAAAAAGTATGAAAAACTATCTATAACATTACAAACACTATTAGCTGAATTCAAAAGTGAACATCTATTAAAATTCCAATTTCCATATACAGACACGCCAAGTAAGAGTCCCTTCCTTGGGGATTTCAGTCTTCCCCCCAAAGACTTCCTAAAAGCTAAAAAATTTAAACTACCTTTTTGGCTTTTAAAAATAGCCAGGCAAACTCTAATTCCCCTTTCACCTTCTCACTAATGCATTAACCCCCATGTCTGATGTCATGTTTTATGAGATACACAATTAAACTTGGGACAAAGGTCTCTCTTGTTGATGCAGTTTTTCAATTCATAGACTTCATTTCATCTTAAAAGTGTGGGAGCTGGGAGGAAGGGAGAAGCAGTGTCTGTCACCAGACATGGCACTTACATATCGCTCGGAAATCTGCTTTCTTTCCATTGGATCCGCTAAGGGGCAGACGCAGAGATCCGAGACGGAGACACCCACACAGGGCCTGAGTGTGATCAACAAGAGGAGGGCCCCCAGGCAGCTCTCCAGGGGCAGCTCCAGGCAGTTGGCTTGCTTCAAAGGGAGAGCAGCAATATCCACTTTACACCTTGAAAAATATCAAGAGTCAGACAAAGAAGAATGACAAACTCAACATCAAGGTGGAATCTGCAAAGCACCTATCTTATATTTCATCACCCCCAAACTTCATTCTGTCTGGGCTTAGGCTTATTGAGCAGTGAACGTTTCAAGGGTTTCTCCCAGCTTGGAACACTCACTCCGAACCTAACGCCCTTCAAAATGAAGGACAGAACAGGCCAGGGAAAATTAAAGAGCAGGCAGGATCAGGGATGGCAAAGGAAACTTGATAAGTCATGCCTTTTCCCAAATCAGGTGTGTAGAAAGACAATGATAACAAGAATTAAGGAGAAAAAAGTTCCAAAGTGTAAACATAATAAGTGCTCTAAATGGCTTTACATGAGCTGTGGCTTGTCTGAGCAAAGAGAATAAAGGATCATGATTCACAAAAAGAAGGGACAGAAACAAGAGAAATGCCAGTGGGAGAGGGTTAATGGAGAAAGCACTTTCTTTTCAATTAATGCCAACTGGTGAAATTTTATTTAAGCAAGCATGTTGAGGTGTTTTCCTAATAGGCATGGTTCCATAGGGTTTTCTCAGGTGGGTTTCTTTTGGACAAATGGAGCATGAAGCACTGTTGATTGATCCCAGTTTGGCAGCGCTGCCAGGAAGGGCTGTACCCATCTGCTATAAATTGCATTTTTTCCGCCTCTTAACAGCCAATGTTCTGGAGCTGTTGAAAACCTCAAACACATTTAAATACAAAAGCAAACACCACAAAGGGTGCAGGGGCTGAGGTACGAAGCCATTTATTTGCTTTAGCACTGAAAGCTCTGAGTTTGCATGGACCACACCTACTATGATTATAGACACAAGTGGGTGAAGAGGCAGGGACAAGGAGGGCAGGCAACAGTTCCTCTTAGATGACATTTTTTAATGTAATTCTCATCTGTTCTCCACAATTACAGAACATGACAAATATTCACGACTTTAGGAACAGAAGCATTGCCTCTCACACAAAAGCAATATGGAGGGATGCTAATCCTGAATCTTCCGTGGACTTCATATGCTAGCAGACAACTAGAAATAGGTAACCTTTACCTGTGTATGTTAAACCATGATGAGTTTTGAGTTACATGGACCTGTAGACAAAAATTTGCTAGTTTCATATATTTGAAAAGTAAAATCTGCCTCCCAATTACAATGGGAAAAATCAATTACATTAAAATATATACCAACTTTTATTATAAAACAAAAGTACATATTGATATGTGCCTGTAGAAGTAAATATATGTGGGTATTTATTTCCCATTTACCCAAAGTGAGTCCACATTTTGGAGGAAGTAGTGATTATTTTTGCATATAATAAATTTATTAAGTAATCTATTGGAAATATATTATAAATGTGTATACATATATATATATATATATATGGTTTATACTTTGAATCCAAACAATATTTTCTCTAGCAATAAGGAACCTTTTAAAATTAAAATATAGCTGGGTGTGGTAGTTCATGCCAGGATCATTGCAAGTTCAAGACCAGGTTAGGCTACATAGTGAGTTCACACAACAAGACTCCATCTCAAAAAAAGAAAAGAAAAGAAAAATATTACTAACCATGGAAAGGGAAGTCTCTTAATATTTTTATTTCATAAACAATTATGTAGGAAGAGAATTTAGTTTGGTTGGAAAAACAGAAATGTCAAGTTCTTTGTGTCATTTCTAGAAAATTATGAACTCATATATTTTTAAATATTGCAATACTATGTGTGCTTAGGAATACTTTATTAATATTGTTACATACACTTTCACTTAATAAAGTTCTTTCTTATAGTATGATTAATTGATCCGACTTTCTAAGAATTTTCTCTGGTGGTCACTTTAATTAGCTCATTCTTTTTAATGCCATTAATAATAACAATTTATTTTTGTCCTTACGTCATTCTTAAAGAAAGAACTAATACATTTCTTATAAACTTCTCTCCATCAAGCCAGCTAGTGTAGCCTATTTCAATTTCAACCTCAGTCCAGATTGTTCCAGTTTGGCCTAATGTTTGCAGAACCTGAAGTCCTAGGGGTAAGCCAGAGACAAGGGAATGATTTGCATTAACCCTATCTAGGAGGGGGAATTATTAGCCTAAAGCAGTAGGGGAAAAATATGTAAAGAACTTTTCTTTCTGAATTGCAGATGATTTTACCGCAATACAAATACAAACTTCCAAAAAAGAGGAAAGTATCAGATGAATAAAATAGCATTTCTTATAAAGATAAATGAACTAAAATCTAAATTTTTAAATTGGTTACCATTTTGTAACACATTCAAAAACATTTTAACTGAAAAAGTCTTAAAAGTGGAATCCAGTCTTCTCTTTTCCACTAGCATATCAGATTGTTTGCAGGGAATGTGAAAAATAGTTTTGTTGGTCTTCCAGTTCTTTCTAGTTGCTACCAAAGTCCCGCAAAATCTTTTGCTCTTTTCCAACTGTTTCTGTCACTAATTCAGCTACTTCTTAAGGGAAGGTCACAGTATTAGCTTCTACTGTTTATTGGTGGAGCACAGGATTAGCCTATAGCTGTTATGGATAGAACCTAGGATTTATTCACCCCTTGTCCATTTTTCTGGGAAAGACCGGAAAGATAATATTGATTTGTGGTCTTTGTGGTCTCTGTTGAAACTGCTCTGTTGAAACCTTGTTGCATGAAACCAAGACTGTTTTTCAATAAAACTTTATTTACAGAAATAGGCATCCATCTGGCTTTGGTTCATGGGCTCTAGTTTGCCTAAACCTGACCTATGGAAATTCCAATAAGTGCTGAATTGCACAAATGGAAGTATTTTTTTAATTGCAGAGTTGGTTACCAAGATCAGACACATCAATGAAAGTATCATAGATATTAATCTAAGGATAATTTAAAAACTAATTTTTAACCTACCATAGCCCAATAAACTCTGACTAAAATGTCCAAGGATCTTTTTATTAATAAAAACTGATAAAGCAATAAATTTTGTGAAATCATCCTTCTATCTGATGGAAACAACGTGGCAACACACATTCAGAGGTTCTCTATTAAAAATGTGCTGAGTGAGTAAGCGTTAGCCAACTGGGTCAATTTCCGTGGCATGTCGTGTGGCTTCACATACAAATGGAGTGACCACGTCCGGACAAGCATTCGGAAGAATCAGCACCCGAACCCTCACGTGACCAGAGGGTCCTCCTTCTGATGTCAGATCATAGAAAATGTAATAGGAGTGCCAGTATGACATCAAAATTTACCCTTTAAAAACAAAACCAAAACTGTCGTTGCTATGTGTGTACCTGGGGAGGAGCTACCATGGCACCAAAGTGCATGAGAGAGAAACTCATAGCCTTGCGACCTGCTGTCCTCTTGAGCTTCAGTACCTGGCACCCCCAAGCCTCCTTAGTGCCCCCAAGTTTATCAGAAGGAATTTGTCCTTCCTTCTCTCAAGATATCTGTCATGTCCTAGCTCCTTAGAAAGCTCTTCCTCCAAGCACTTTATCACACAATCTACCACCCAGTTTAGGGGGTCTCACTTCCAACTTCCCGCTCCTCCAGGAAACCACCTGACCCTCCCCCAAGTTCTGCTGATTTCCAGGGTGCTGGGATCCGTGGACCCCATGCCATGCCCCTGCCACTTTCTGCTTCCATGCAGTAGCACAAAACTGCATGTCCAAAGACAGCACCCTTGTCTTCCTTACCGGCCATTGAATTCTCAATACTTCTCAGCCTTCCCAAATCACAATCTGGTCTATATTTCTTGAAAAAAATCAATTCAGAATGAATGCTAACGGCATAAACAAACTCGTACCATCAAGACATTCAAATTAGTGTTTTCTATTAACTAATTTTCTTCCCCATGTTAGAAAAAGATTGAAATAAATGGATTTCCTAGGTGCCTCCCAGACTGAAAATTCCTTGGTTCTACACACCTGAAGGAAACAAGGACTAAATCACTTTTTTTCTCTGCAACAGGCATATATTAAAGCTTTCTGCTTCCACCCAGAGGCAGCTAATGTGCTGATTTAGCATTGTTTCTGACCTCCCATTCTTGTCTTTCTCCATTAATCCCACAGCATTTTAATGTTTTAATCCAGCACATAATTTTACCATATCAGTCAGCCAAACCTGCGCAAGTTTTACTTGCCACGATAGCTTTTAACCTCTTATTCATTACCATAATTCTATGTTTTATATTACAGACTGGTCAGCTTTTAACTTAAATGCAACGGGCAGAAAAGAGTGTTATGGTTTTAAAAGCTGTAAATCTCAGGGACCGAGGAAGTTGGAGAACAGGAAGAAAACAGTGAATGTGTCAAGCCTGGCTGTAAAAGCAGATCAACGACACAGGGTGCAATTTGTCCTGAGAAACACTCCCGCCCAGATCTTGCTCTGCCTCAAAGCTACTAATAAACTGAGGGAAAGTCGGAGCCCCTGTATCAGACACCACCTGGAACTAGGCATAGCTGAGGCCGGTCGGTCAAAACAGGCTACAATTGTCCTCCTTCACCTTTGCAAATGAAATGAATATCTAGAATATTCTATGACAAGTCAAACTCTAGCATCACTTTGTAATGAAAACTATCCATTGTGAAACCACACGACATGGGATGATAAATATTAATCTATATTCATACTTTTGCATTTTGTTAAAAAATTTTGAGTAGGTTAAGCTTAGCTTTATGTCTTAATTTCCCTAAAAAAATCACTATCCTTATCGAAAATATGAGATATGATGCTATCTTTCCCCCTTTTTTTTGTATTGGAGATAGAATCCAGGGCTTTTGGAACTAAGCTACATTCTTCAGTGTGTGTGTGCACACGCGCATATGCCTGCCTAAAGGGCTAAGTTGCCCCAAACTTATGGTCTTCATGCCTCAGCATCCCAGAGTCCTGGGACTGTCTTGTAATATGTGTTTTGCCCATAAATACACATGAGAATTGGGCCACGTGCTTTCAGGGGACTGTTGGGTGGCACTAAAGCACCTTTATGTCGCTACCTTCAGCATCCTTAGGAGTTTCCTGTGGCTTAGCTGGAGCCTGCAGGAGGGTGAACTATGGCACCAGGGAACTCAAAGATGCCCATGTAACTCAAGAGCACTTGGAGGACACTGGCTTCTGGGCAGAGCTGTGTTTAAACCACCTCTGTGCTAACAACCTACCAACACCTATGTAAGGTCTCTTCACATAAGCAATCACTGACCCAGCCTTTTCATCCACGACACCAAAGCCCCAGTATCACTCAAGCCAACCTCCCCTCTTCAGTTCTTCAGTCACTGGCTGCCTTCACCACTTTAGCCTTGCAGATTTTAACAGTTCATTTCTATTAAAAACTATAAAAATAAAGTCTATACTCTTTTCAAAAGAATACTGCTAGCTATATTTCATTTGTATCAATTGTATAATTTTAAAAACATTGTAGAGGCCTATAGTTTCCATGAAAAAAAAATCTCAAAATGAAAAATAATACCCATGATAGACAATATCAATAGACATGAGAACTGTTACTCCTGATGACCTGCAGGCTGGTCAGTGACCTCATGACACAGGGAGCCAAACTCCCTACGATCACATCAAGAGTGCCCCTCAATCTACCCACAATGGGAATCCTTCTTGAAGAAGATTTCTCCAGAGAGGCTGCATGTAGAGAGCTTCACCCTATTAATATGAAGGTTTTACTCAAAAGCAAAACATGAGATGGGCTTTAGGAGATGGTTCACATTTACGCACACTGTCAAACCCCCTCTGATGTAAAAAGATAACTTCTCAACAGTTGAGATATAAAACAGCTATGCCTTGGAATGAAGACCACAAAGAAAAGACAATGTGGAGAAAAAGCTGAAATATTTCAAAGGTAACTAACAAGAAATAGCAGTAAGTAATCGTCCATGGATACACATATGCTTAGCACAGTATTTTCTTTAAATCTGAAAAGCAGTGTTATGCTTTAGTGTAGCCACCTGCACATCCATTGCTTTGTAAAGCTGTGGAACTAGCTCCCAAGAGATACTTTTGTTATCTATTGTGCCACAGGAGAGGAAAAAGGAAAAGGATACCAAAAAAAGAAAAGAAAAAAATTCTTCAAAATCCATGAAGAGGAAGGCCAGAATGACCAGAGGACAGGTATACTTCTCAGTTACAAACAGGAAAAAGCTAAAATAATAAATGAATACCCAAATGACAAAACATCGAATAGAAGAGGCATCTTAAATTATGTTTTTGTCTCGGTGAAGCAACCCAACACTCATTTGGAAAAGCATTTCCTATGATGTGATGGGAACATGACAACACAATGACATGTGAAATGCCGGGGCAGTGTCCTTTGTACCTACTAAAATAACACATGGGCCATTCATCACTGGAGGCCAAACTCCCACCATTCAGATAATACTTGGGACACAGTGTTCTCTGCATTTGTATAACTTATCCTTGCTCCAAAGTTTCTGACCCTCCTGCCATTGGCATGGTCAGGGCTCCTCTATGTCACAGCAGTGACAATAGCAGAGGTACTGAGAAGTATCTGAGGCATCTCAGGTACCATGTGTGGGCACAGGCAGAGATGGCAGAGGCAAGGTCATATCCATCCCTGACAGATAATGACTATGAAGTCCTCCTGCTTAAGGTGGAGAGTTGTGGCATGGCCCATGGTGCTAGCAGTGTGCACAAACCTGCCTTTGTAGAGAGATCATTATCAAAGTAATGAGTGGTGCCTAGCAGATAGTACAATCTCTTTATGCACAGTCGGTGCCTAAGTGATGCACTCAGGTTATGGCATGGGGAACACAAGGGCCAGAGGTCTCAACTGCCAGGATCACTGGCCCCGCTGGTCCCCCAGGAGGTACATGGACATGTGTGATTGAATGTAGGCAGGCTATGTGTGTATGTGGCAGAGTGTGTGTTGTCCACACAGTAACTGGGGAGAGTTACTGTCATCAGTCAGGTGGATAAGATCCAGGTGTCCTGAAACTATCTTGTAAGAGGCCAAACAGTGCCATGAAACACTGGAAGAATGTTGCATGAGTACTGAGCTCCCCATCCGCTGATCTCAGGATGAGCTACTGAGGCAAGATGGGGCAAGGACAGCACAAAGAGCCAGCACGGGGCTATGGGCAGTGTGCTAAGGATTTTACAGAGCAAAAGCACTGCCTGAGATATAGATAGCTGGGCCTCATGCCATTTTTGACTCTAAATTCTTGGCTGATGAAAAAACATTTCATCTCCCTGGTTCTCTGCATTCTTTCATTGTAAAATGAAGCAGTTATATTCAGTGAGTGAATTTCAATCTTTATTCTTTAGTAATAAAAATCTTTACTTAAGGATCCCCCAAGGTGGAGCACAGCAAAAAGTTGAATTGTTCTGGTTGCAAGGGAGAGGGGAGAGAGGCCTCCCATTCCCCGGGTGACCACAAGGCGTCTCCTTCCACTGGGTTCCAGGTATGGAAAAACAACTGAGGGCCCTTAGGTTCTCTTTAAATGTTTGTTTTCTTTAAGATTTTACTGCAAATGTACATATATGAGATTGTTTTTTAACAGGTAGCAACTTGATGGAAAGAACTTGATCTTTGGAAAGGCAGAATCCTGACTCTTAGAACACAAGGTTCTTAAACCTAAGGCCAAGTCATTTGTAAACTTCTTGTACTCCACTTCCTCATCTAAAACATGAGCCGTGATATATTTAGCACAATGTGCTGGAGATCAGGGGTGACCCGTACTTCTCCCTGCATCTCCTTTGTGCTCACTGTGGTGCAGTCATGATACTAGTGCTCTCTCTTTTTATTGTGTTCTCCTTCAGAACCCTATAAGCCAGCTAAGACTCTTACACTGCTGTTCATTACATATGGATAAATGAATACCTCAATTTAGTTGCTAGGGCCCAAAGTAAAGAAAAGAAAAACATAGTAGGTTTGGCTTCAAATAGAGTCTATCAGTTTGCTTCAAATTATATCAAAGACATTGAAAAGTTTTCATTATGGGAAACATCTAACCCTATATTTTTATTAAATTATGATATTTGCTATGAAGCAAAACCAAACTATGGTATATGGGCAATTTATATAAACAAAACCAAAACAGCCTGAGATGGCTCCTTATCTTTCTTTAGAGAATCTTTGATATAAATTACAGTTCGCCTTTCAAATACACAGTTTCCACATTCAGACTCAACCAACCTTGGTTCAAAACAATTTTTAGTAGACATTTGGGGGATCATCATTCCCTAAGCAATACAATAGAACAACTATTTGCATAGCATTTAGATTGCATTAAGTATTAAAAATAATCTAGAGTTGATTTAAAGTATTCAAGAAAATATAAGTAGGTTCTATGTGAATCCTATGCCTTTGTTTACAGGATTTGAGCATCCTAGGAGTTTCATTTCTGTAGGGGTCCAGAAAGGATCCTCCTTGGATGCTGAGGTGTGGCTGGATTTCTGTTTTGAAACATACTGCTTTTAAACACTGAATGACATTTACCAACTTTAAAACAACAACAAAAAGGGACACCTCCTCCAGTTAGGAGTGGCTGTCCGGCTTACTGAAGGCTCCAGGGATGAGATACACATTGTCCCCTCAACTCAGACAGACAGGCCCTTCACTGAGACCCAGCCCCCTGCAGACACAAGGTCCCACCAAGGAGAAGCAGAGGGACTCACGTGCCCAGGCGCTCCTCGTGTTTTTTGCCGTCCTTTCCCCACACTTCGATGTCTAAAATGCCCATCCTGTCAGAGAAGTAGTGAAAGTCAAACTGTTCCTGCCACTGCGGATTTGCACTCTTACACAGTGTCTAGAAAACATGCAGTTATAATATTTATTTTCTTAAAATGTCATTCATTGCTATAGCAGCTACACATTAATTTCATTTCTAACTGGCAGGAGGTCATAATGATGGGCTTTGCCTCTTATTACATTAAACTTGTGGAACAGAAGGGACCTTAAGGTTTCAGGAACGGCTAAAGAGTACTATTCACTTTGATGACCTCCAGATTCAACAATTTACCCGCCAAGTTAAAAAGAATACTGTAATAAGTCATAAAAACATATGTATGTTTGCATAATGACCTATATCTATAGACAGCTTGAAATTGTTCTTTCTTATAGAAATTAATACAAATTGGTGAATCAAAGCCATGTAACATTTTTGTTGGCATATACACACATTGCTTACTTAAAATTATATAAATTAACAGTTGGGGGTCTTAATTAACATTTGCTAGATGCATTAAGTGAGTAACCCATGAGTTTTACATCTCTATTTTTTAAATGCAAAATTACTGAATTCAGACACTAAAACAGAGGTAAGACTAGGAAATTCCACTTAAGCAACATGTAAAAAGTAGTGAGTGGTTTGAAACCTCCACAAGAATTACTGTGTTCCCTAAGAGTAACTTTAAACTGCTTCTGTGTTTAGTTCATTGGGAGGATTTCCATTTTTCTTTCATTTAGAGAGATTCAATTTGCTCATAAGGAGTGAATGGAACTCTCTGACACTGAGTATGGGCTGTAAGGACACAGCACTAGCTGTGAACATCCCATTACCTTCTATTTCTGTGTGAGAAAAAAACATGAGGCTGCCCAGATTTCTGCTGTAGCCAATGTCATATAAAATCATTTAAGTGTTTTTTACATCAGGCTTAACATATCACATCCCAGCATTTAGAATTCAGGAAGAAGAAAAGACCTATTAGAACTACAAATTGCATGCAATATTCCCCAAGGAGGAGCATAGTTGATATTGAAATAATTCTACACTTCACCTTACTCGAAAGGGTTAAATGTTCCTAATGTTAAATCATTTTTCCATAAATCCTCATCTTGACCCTGGCCAGCTACAGGAATCTTAGTAGAGAAATGTTGTCACCTCAGATTTTCCTCCTGTGAAGGTAGTTTTACAGCCTAAAACTACCTGCTCAAAATAATTGTTTGCATATTTCTGATATAAATTACCCTAAATTTTTCATATTTCTTATAAACTATTTTTCAGTGTGCACCTCATTTCTCCACTCCTTGGTGATGCAGCAAAGAATGTGCAATGTTTGATTTTTCACCAAAAATTGTGCAGGACATATACCCTTTTACCTCCTTAAATATTTTCCAAGCTCTGTGTATCTGTTATATGCTAGATGCTGTGAAGCCTGACTTGCAAATATTCTCGAATCTATTTCCAAAAATCTTCCATCGATTTTTTTTCTATGTGGCTTTCGGCAAGTGACACAACTTTCAAGTACCCTAGCTCTTTCAATCCACAAAACGTAGGAAATATTCCTGTCTGACAGTTATGTAAAACAAATTAATTTGCACGGTTTGGAGCCAATAGTTTTGAAATAGAATCCACACCAAATTACAAGATTAAGAATTAAAAGGAATTTAGATTGGCAGAACAAGATGGCTTATTTTTAAAATAGCTAAAATGTCGTGACTTTCAGTTTTAATACTTTAGATACAGTTTTGTTTTTAGAAAAAATCACAGCAAAATTAGCAACACTGGAAAATTATTTTTGGTGTAAAGACTATCCAATGAGGGAGAGAAAAGAGTATATAGTTTTGAAAATGTTTTCAGCTATTTCATGTAATTTACACACATCAACTAGTATGCTATTTTTCTGTAGGATTTTGAAGTTATCCTTTTCCCGCATTCTGTGAAACATGCTCTGCTTATTTTCAAAACAAAAATAAATCATGTGTTCTATGATTTAATGAGCTCTCTTTAGCTCTGACTTACCATATTAAAATATATTATTCTAAGCAATCAAAGCAGCTCAAATATTAACTGACTGCCACTATACCATTATTTTGTTTTCTGGAATGCTCTTTAATATAGTTGGGGGGGGGCTAAAAGTAAGTTACTTCTATTCTTGTGAAATTCAGAAGAAGAAAGCAGTTTTTAATTATTTTTAATTGTAAAATATATTATCCTCCTTACAGCATTCACAAAACTTACCTTACTTTTGTACCTCTGATCTCCCAGTTTTAATTGAACAAACATCTCGGTCATATTTCCTCCTGAGATGTTCTTCCCTTCCAACAAAATTATACTTATAATCCCATTCCAGAGCTGGTTCTTTTTCAAGGACTCTGAGAGCCGTAGATTGCGTATCAAAGAGGACTAGAGGAAAAAATAAAGATATGTGAGCTTGTCCGTACTTCTTGAGAATGATTCTGGTTATCATAGGAATCCCAGCTTTCGGTGTTTGATTTTAGAATCCCTCCCTGACTGGTGAGAAGTGTTATTCTTCGTGCCTTTCACAAGCCTACAATTACAGTTACGTGGTTTACTTCTGAAGGTTTGGACTCATAGCAATATAGCGCAGGATGAGTTTAAGCAATACTTGGCTTTGGCAATGATCTCCAGTCCCATCCAGAAATGCTCTTTGCTAGGAATCCTTACACTGGGCCTCTAGCTGTTTTAAGAGTAGGAAGAGAAGAAAGGCATTGTGGGAAACAGAGATATAAGAACAAGGCAAAATACCTCTGGGTGTTTAGAAATAATGTCTTTGAATTTATCCATCACGTCTCACTCTCTCCCTACTTCCCTTATTCCTCAGACCGCTACTAAAAAGCCCTGTAGCGCTCACTGTAAGAGTCAGGACTCCATGTGCAGCTTATACTGGCCTAGCTGGTCAAAGGAGCTTTGTATATCAAGTGAGGCAGCTGTGAAACAGATTGGCAAGGAGAATGTACAAAATGCACCTGACAGTGTCTGGGACCAAGAGGGACTCCGTATCTGTTCACATATTATTTCTTTTTAAACTATATGACTTCTACACATTCATATGCACCTTAAAGAGAACACCCAAAAGCCAAATATTCCCTATTAACTGATAAATATGATACTCATACTATTTTTAATTGCTATCATACAAATGTTTAAACATACAAAAAAGTAAAGAGTACAAATAGTATAATAAATCAACTTGTATTCATTCACCAGATTCAATATTCTGCCAGTTTTAATTTCCTCTCTCCATTATTTTTTTTCTGGCTGGAATGTTTTAAAGCAAAGCCATATTTGTTTTTATATAATCATCATGCATGATCACTCACAACAAAATTAACCGTAATTTGTCCTAATATCATTAAATACCCTGCACATAGTCACAGCCCCTAATAGTCTCAATGACGTTTTTCCCAGGGTTTTCTGCGTGAGTTAGGATTCCCACCTAATCCACAGGCTGCACTTAGTTGGAAGAGCCCATTTATGTTCTCTTTTCAGTAAGGGAAATTGCATAAGCAGAGACTTTTTTATTTAAAGGAGAAATAAATGGGGTAAAGAAGGTAAATGGTGCCGAGCGCCCTAGTAAAGCAAAGGGTTTCTAAAAGTCAGTATTCATTCCTGTCATCACTCGCTATATCTTCGAGATCGTTTACACCGCAATCTGCCTGGATGCCAGTTAGTTGACATTTATCACAACAAGTGATGTGTCAGGGCCATGTTAATTCTACGCAGCTTACCTCAGAGCCCACCTCACTCTACCACTCCAAATGATCCAGCAATGCCTTACCAGATGTCTTCTTGATCATTTTAGGACAATTGTAAACTAAATATTTTTAAGGAAATATACACTCAAACTTCTTATCCATTCAGCTTTTCTCCCAATATTCCCCCTGCATGCATACACACACACACACACACATACACACACACACACACACACACACACACACACACACACACACACA